TAAATTAAACAGAGTCACAATGTAGAACGCTGAGTAAACTTTATTTCCAAAGATGAATGGCATGCACGAAAGATTTGCTATGCTTAATCTTTGGGGAATGGAAGGAGGTTTCTTTCTTGAGTGTATATGTAGCAAAGTCCTGAGGCAGAACAACTCTAATTACACAGTGTCTTAATCTGTAGAAGAACACTGAAGCACTCCTGTTTAAATAACCCAACCTGAACTGTTTTAGACACCAAATACATATATGTATGAAGAGGTCATCTGTAATGTAATCATGCATATTTACTGCTGATACAGTATACATCTTTTAATATTATAAACCAAAACGCATTGAGAGAAAAAAATAACCTTTTAAAATTGTTTTTTTAACCCTTTGAACAGGGCTATGTTTGAAAAAGGCATGGTAATTAAATATGTTTTTTAAAAAAACAACATCAGAAGTATCACCAAATGTGCTTAGAAGATAAATTTCTGGTTATTTTATTTTGGAAAAAATAATAAAATGAATTGTCTGTAGATATGTGTTTAATTTACTGCAAAAAATAAATGTATTGTGGTGGCAGGAATATGAATTATGAAAAGAAGAAAACACAGTTAAACTCAGACAGATTCAATGAGCTTTCAAGCACACTGCATCAACTGGGATAAATAATTTAATAACACTTTGTGTGCTGTCTCTTCTGTGTTATAGACAGTTATTAAAAAAAGATACGAATGTGTAGAATCACACAATATGCAAAATGTGTTATAAATGTAATGAGTATGCATGTATTTTTAATTAAATTTGGCTTCTGACACAATATAGGAATAATTTTTAACAAAATATTTTTATATCAATGTCTAGAAATTCTAACTACAACAATGCAAAAGTGGGCAGGTCTAAGCAACTGGAGAAGAAAAAATATAAAGGATATAACATTTTACTATAATTATCCCTTTTATTCTTTACATAATAATACATTTATCAATTATTTTTGATAATAAACATCATGATACTAAAATTAAAACTTAAACTTGTATCCAATGGGTATATAGCACAAAGAAAAGTAAAAAGTACAGTGCTTAAAATTTGTGAAAATATCAACCCAAAACAAGCATCTCTAATGCACAATTATTTTAAGACAATGCATTTGGGAAAGCATTTATTAATATTGAGTCCAATCCACCATCACCTACTTGAAAAACACTGTGATTCTTGTCAGTATGGTATTTTGATTCCATGAAATTAAAATAAAGTTAATAAAATTTGGCTAGTTGATTAAAATGATTTTAAAATAATAAATGACTGAGTTCATCTTGAGTTTGGCAACTTTGCTAGTTTTACACATATCTCTTCTATTCCTGAACATTTTACAATTCATTTGTATGTCTTCCTAAATTATTTGAAATTTAATATGATCATTTCTATTTCATATAAATTAAAAAATAGTGTATTTTATAATTCATTTGTATTTATTTTATTAACTGCATGACTCAAATAGCACACTTGAATATACCAAAACCATTTGAATCAGTAGGGGCAAATGCTGAAATAATTAACCCTAAGAGAAGATAAATCTGATCTACAGAACTTGGCTTAGTGACCTCAAGAGGATATGGTAACAGCAGTGGGATATGCATATTTAGCTAGAAGTTAAGGCCCACTGAGAATGCTCTTCAGCATATAAAGACTGCAGTTTAAGCTATCAAGGTCTTAGCAATCTGGTTTGACTGCTGAGGCCTATAAATTACGGTTTGCATTTTATATCTTAAGCACCAGTAATGTATTTACAGAATATAGTCTGCAAGAAATATTTACCTCCAGGAAGTATAACAGGACATTCTTAAGCCCATCCCGACAATCATTATAGTCCAGATAAAAAGCCTTCGATTTTAGTGGGACTTATTGGACTCCTTGGTTAAGGTCTGCGTCTTGCTACAATAGGAACAAGGTCAATGTAACTCAATGCTTCACAGTGTGGTGCCTTTTCTCAGGAGGCAACGAAGGAAGGAAGAGGATTCCTGATGTCTCAGGATTTCAGTTGTTAAGAGCTTGGCTGCATCTCCTCTGAGAAGAGAAACTAAATGGCCGGCTGGTGTCACGTACCATTTTGTGTTTTCGGCAAAAAGCTGGCGATTGGAGAAGACAATCGGAAAGCCCTGATACGTCAGAAAGCGGAGGCCACTGCACAAGCGCGCTCTAGACACCTCCCTGGGGTTCCCGCAGGCCCGGGCCCTTCGCCCCCAGCGCCGGCTCTGCACAGCACTCCCAGGCCGAATCGCCCTTCACGGTGGTCCCCAGAGGAGAGGGCTACGGGTATCGGTCGGTCGGTCGGTCCTCGGTTCGGAGGGCAAAGGCATCTTCCTGGCTAAAGGAAATGGGAGGCCTGTGGCGCTAGGGCCAAGGGGCCAACGTGCAGCTCGCCATTCTTAGGCCAGAAACGTCTCCCAGCCAGGGCGCGCCTTCACCTGTTGGCGGTCCCTGCCGCCTGGGACTCTCCGGGGCAGCCGAGAAAGTCAAGCGCCGGTGCGGCTTCCGGCCCACGCCGTGTCCTCCCCGAAGCCCCAACTTTCGGGGGGAAGGAGTAGGGGAGGGCGATGAGTTGCGCATCGAAACGTCGGCCAGGGCGCCTCTCCGCTCCCGATGGGAAGCCGCTCCCCAAAAGTCCAGCTTGGTGTGGAAGTGCCTTGCTGTCGTTTCCTAGCCGGCCGGCCGGCCGTTCCCAGCGGGGAAGGGCGCTGAGAGATGAGAAGCGCCGGCTCGAGGAAAACGTGCCCCTCTCGGCTCCCGTCGGGCGACCTGCGAGCCCGCCGAGGCGCAGCCGGAGGCGCTTTCAGACCGGCGCGCTCTCCGCGGCGGTTAGGCTCGCGTCTTCGCCGCCGCCCCCCCCCCCATTCAATGCCCGCCCAACGCGGGCTCGCCTCGCTCCGTTGGGAGTGGTGGGAGCGCCGACTGGCCTCAGGCGTGTTCCACGTTCCGGGTGTCTTGAGTTCCAATTCGAGGACTTTGGAAAGGGGGAAAATGTGGCTCGAGGACAGGGCTTAAGCGACGCCTCTGAGGGGTGAATCTTCACTCCCAAATCCTACAAAACTACACCGGGGGGGGGTCGTGAATGCAATTTTAGGGAAGGGGACTAAGTCCTTGAAAGAGTCTCAGCGCGCAGTAAACCCGTATGTTTCCCACCAGCATCCAGGAGAATGAAACGGGACCCGAAGGCCAAAGGCCGTTTGCCTGGGGGAAGCCCCCGGCTTTATAATGCGGAGGAAGGTCCCGCTGACTTCGAGGGCTTAAATCTCGCGGATGCACCCCTTCCGCTCTCCGGGTGGCACTTAATGTTAAACCTTAAGAGGCCTGGGGTTGGAAAGGCCTCTCCAAGAACCGGGCGCTCCCGCAGGTGACCTCGCCTCCGCGGGAACCGGTTTTCTGGGCCAGCGCCCCGTAACGAACTGCTGTGCTGGGAGGCGTCCTACAAACGTGCCCCACTTCAGCTCCTCCTGGGATGCTCCTTGCGGAGATAAACGCTGTCCCGGCCAATGCCAGTATGAGCTCCGCTGACCTGGCCCACCCCCTCAGCCACACGTGTCCTTTTACTTAATCCCGAATTCAAACGAGGGTAGACTGCCCACTTCGGATCATTTAAAAGGCGTTTATTTTTTTGCAAGTGTGTCCAGAACACTCGGCGTCTCTTGCAGGTACCTCTGTTACACAATTTGCAAAGAAGGACAACGGTGCACACCTAAATCACTAACAAACACAAATCGTGCTGATCACCAGACGCGTGGCTTCACAAACTCAGTCCGGAAAAATGGACAAACCCGGTCGTCCACGGGCTATCTCGTTCGCCTGTTTTTAGCAAACTAAGACGGCAGCATTTGCATCCGATCGATTTAAGACCCGTCAAATCGCTCTTCGTGCTATTTAACTGCGCTTGGAAGAGCAGGGATGCCTTCTCTTGGCATTTGCGGTCAAGGGTAGGAAACTTCTTAACATTAGGCTGGCCGGTTGACCAGTGGAAAACTGTCCTGGCGGTTTCCAAGGGCTATGAGGCAGAGGCAGCGCCAGCTAAGAAGCCCTGTTCAGAAAAGCAGAGGGTCCCCGCTCCCTTTCTCCAACAGCGGACCTCTTCTTCAGTTTGCTGGTCGAGTGATGGCGGGCTTGTGACCCCTGCAATCCCGTTTGTGCCAGAAAGCGGCTCTGACGGCGCCTTTCGAGTTCCTCGAAGTCTTTTCCTGGCGGCACCGCCTTTAAGCGCCCTCTCGACCATTTCCCCATGGGTAGGCGGCCTGGGCTGGTCGTTCTGTGCCATCAGCCCCCTACCTTTACTTTGTGTGTTTCTCTCTCTACCGCCAAGAGAGGGATTAATTAACCGGGCTGGAGCTGAAAGAGGCTGCCGTGACGAGCCCAGTGGCGATTGGCCGCCCGCCTGCCTGGCCCTGCCTTTATAATTTCCACACGAGTGCATCTGGGTTCTTATAACAAACCAACAGCTAGCTCCTTCTGATACATACACACACTGAGAGAGAGAGAGAGAGAGAAACACCGGCACTTCCTTTGCAATTTAGCCATCCTACACCCATGGTTGCTACTCCGAGAGAAGCTCACCTAAATAGATGTACCAGAGGTGTAATTCAGACTATTGGAAGGCTTGCTAAATCTGTTCAAACTTTTTTCAACTTTTTTTTTCCCAACAGCAGATTTCCATGCGTTTTGCTGTTCACTCAAAGATCGTCTAACGGCACCCATTGGAGCACACCGAAGCAGGATGTGTGTTTGATAAGAATCGGAGATCTGTCCAGAACTAAACGGTCCATCTAGCAGCAGCAAGAAAAAGCATCTGAGCTGGAAAAAGAGCAGAGACGCCGCCGCCGCCTAGCGCCTTCTTCATAACCTTCTGGTTACGTTTCCGAGCGTAAGAGAGTCTGCTTCTTCTCTGAAGTTGGCTCCAGCCTTAGCAGCCGCATTGGATCCCACAGCATACTGCGAGACTCCGGTCTACAATCCGGATCTCTGTCCCAACATGATCGCAGCCCAGGCCAAGCTGGTTTACCATCTCAACAAGTACTACAACGAGAAATGCCAAGCCAGGAAAGCGGCCATCGCCAAAACTATCCGAGAAGTCTGCAAAGTGGTCTCGGACGTGCTCAAGGAGGTGGAAGTGCAGGAGCCCCGCTTCATCAGCTCCTTGAACGAAATGGACAACCGCTACGAGGGGCTGGAAGTCATTTCGCCCACCGAGTTCGAGGTGGTCCTCTACCTGAACCAAATGGGCGTTTTCAATTTTGTCGACGACGGCTCGCTGCCCGGCTGCGCGGTGCTCAAGCTGAGCGACGGGCGCAAGAGGAGCATGTCCCTCTGGGTGGAGTTCATCACGGCCTCGGGTTACCTCTCGGCCCGCAAAATCCGCTCCCGCTTTCAGACGCTCGTGGCCCAAGCGGTGGACAAATGCAGCTACCGGGACGTGGTGAAAATGGTGGCGGACACCAGCGAGGTGAAGCTGCGGATCCGGGATAGGTACGTGGTGCAGATCACGCCGGCGTTTAAATGCACCGGGATCTGGCCCAGAAGCGCTGCCCACTGGCCCTTGCCCCACATCCCCTGGCCGGGTCCGAACCGCGTGGCTGAGGTCAAAGCCGAAGGCTTCAACCTCCTGTCCAAGGAATGCCACTCGCTGGCGGGCAAGCAGAGCTCGGCCGAGAGCGACGCCTGGGTCTTGCAGTTCGCCGAGGCCGAGAACAGGCTTCAAATGGGCGGTTGCCGGAAGAAATGCCTCTCGATCCTCAAAACGCTGCGGGATCGCCACCTGGAGCTACCCGGGCAGCCCCTGAACAACTACCACATGAAGACCTTGGTTTCCTACGAGTGCGAGAAGCACCCGCGGGAATCGGACTGGGACGAGTCTTGCCTGGGCGACCGCCTCAACGGGATTTTACTACAGCTCATCTCCTGCCTTCAGTGCAGGCGGTGCCCGCATTATTTCTTGCCCAACTTAGACCTCTTCCAAGGCAAGCCTCACTCCGCCCTGGAAAACGCCGCCAAACAAACGTGGCGGTTGGCGAGGGAAATACTCACCAACCCCAAAAGTTTGGAAAAACTTTAGGGGGCCGAGGAGACGCAGCCGGTCAACTATTCAAGCCGTCTCCTTCTCTTTTTCGAGGATTCTGTGGGGGGAAAAAACTCAGGTGCCGCCAGCCGACCACGCAAAAACGGCCAGCCTGCAAACAGAAGGAAGAGGCCGTCCCCGCAGGCGAAGCGCACCGCACCGCAAGGATTACGACTTGTCACCAACCCGGCGTCCACCTCCCGTTCGGGAAAAACAAAACAAAAGAGTGTTATTATCACCTGGGGAGAGGCAATAGCGGCTACACTTCAGCCTGCCTGCCTGCCTGCCAGCATTGCTGAACAGAAAACAGACCAGGGGGATTATATTAACCAGGCCAGTATTTTTATTTTTTTTTAAATTTTTTTTTTTTTTGCGCGAGGCCACCCGAACAAAGAAAAGCAAACAAGCCTTACTTACCGCGGTTGTCTCCCCTCCGCTCCCAACAACCCCTGTACATTCTAAAACATTGTATGGAATATTGTGATCTCACATTGTCTTTGAAATTGTGGATGTTAAGTGTTTTGTGATTTGGTGAAAACAGTTTAAATTGCCATTGTTGGATACTTCAAGACATTTTTTTTTTTGCTCAAGAAAGATACCCTTTCGAAAGGTACATTTTATCACGGTACTTTACGTTTTATTGTCTCTTGAAGTGTCTAAACTGAAAAGTTTACATTTTTGTTTCAAATATATTGCTTGTTCTCTTTGTAACATTCCATAAATATACTTGAAATGTTATTTAAATATATTCAGAAGAAATTTTGACCTTGTCTATATAATTGCGAATATTGGAATTATATATTGGAAAAATGCACTTGAGATACACTGGATAATTACTTTTTGTGATTTAAATTTCTGTTGTTGATTTTATTTAATTACAAATTAATAAATACAAGTAAAATAAATATGGTCAAAGCTTTGCGTGCTGGATTCAATATATGAGATGGTGCCGCATTTCTCAAGGCACGTAAGTTAAATCTCCTGTGGCATTTTACTTATGGTTTTTTTTAAAGGGATAACAGCCCCAAAACGGGTCTCAGACCCCATCAACATCTGCCACACAGGGCGGTATGGTAATTAACCGAGTAACATTTTTACAACCTCTAGGAAATAAATCTACCCATCAAAGATTTACTAGACTGCATTAACTCGGCTGCCTGTTTTTGTCAGAATCTGTAGCTCCGGAGGCCTTGTTGGCCACAAAATTAGCACTTCAAGAAAAGGGAGGGAAATCTGAGAAATTTATAGAGGCCAAAGATCGATCTAACAGCCCCAAGGTTATGGTTCGTTTTTCCTTAAAGCCCATTACGCTGGCCATCAGCCAGTTGCCATTGGGAAAGACAAGCGCCGGCTTCTCCGGACGCCCTTCGGGACGAAGCTGCCGGGACACATCCAGCAATGCTTTAGCGCTACCCTTGGAGGCAGTCAGGCCGGGGGACGGCCCTTTCTTCCCGAGGTAGACCGTGTTTAAGCCCAAGGGCCAAAATCAGAGGTGAAGCGCAGCTTATCCCGACTCCGCTTTCAAGAACCCAAAGGCGAACGACAAATCCCCGCACAAATTGCTACTACCACCGTCAAGGCAGCTTTTCTTTTCTAAATCGGCGTTAATGAAGGTTTCGACGGCATTTTACGGACATGACTTCCAGACACGCAATTACCCCTTCCGCACTGTTCATGCCATGTAAGGGCGAGGAAGGGGGGCTGAGGGGGGGGGCCCGGGGAGGTGGGACGAACACGGCTCCTGCTTTAAGGCATGGTTGCTGCTGGTCGGCTTGAAGGCAGAACTTTCTCTGCTCCCGCTCTCGGAAAATTGAGCGTGATCCCGGCTCCGCTTTCAAACTCAGCACCATTCAACAACCCCTCCCTTCCCTCTGGAGCGCCTCCCCCCCCCACCCCTCCGAAAATCAGGTCCTCGAACCGGGGCGGTTTATTTCCTCTTAGTTGTAAGGAAGCGCCTGGTCTGCCGTTGTTAACGTTCAAGGATCGGGTCTGCGGCGGCGGGGGGGGGGGCTCCGCTACCTCTAGGAAAATTTATTTATTTATTTATTTATTTTATTTATTTTATTGTTCATATTTATATCCCGCCCTTCTCCTTGCGGACTCAGGGCGGCTAACAACCAGATAAAAATGCAAATCCCAAAACTACAGATTAAAACATAATTAAAAACAAATATTAATAATTGGTCTAATTAGTTTAAAATTACTTTAAAACCCCCATTAAAAATTTTCCCCTATTTGCTGTCAAGCCAAATAGTTGGCTTGACAGCAAAAACTCTCCACATTCCCTCAAACGTCCCAGGCTGGCAGGATTGCGGGGGGGGGGGGGGGGGGGGGAAGAGGGGGAGACTGAAAAAAAAAGGAGAGGTCGGAGTAATAGCGGATTTTATATCATTAAAGCTGTAACGGATCCAGGAGGAGGGAAGAGGGGTGAAAGAGTAGGAAGGAGCAGCCGACGAGTTTCCCCGCCCGTTTCAGCCTTTCTTCGCGTTGAGAGTTGCAGCAAAACCACCCGCCCGCTCTCCCTTCCCGGCGCTTTACTCACTTTGGGGTCGATTTTCTTGAAGGCCGAATCATCCTCGTCCACCTCGAAGTAGATTTCGGTGGTGGTGATGGAGAGCGTCCCCTTGGCCACAACCACCGGGGCGATCAGCTGAGCCGGCGTGCTGAGGACCACGGGCCCTGCAAGACAAGAGCGGCGACGTCAGGACGCGGCACAAATTCGGAAGCAGATGTGCCCCGCTCCGTTTCCTTTGCCGAGGACGAAAGCAAAAAAAAAAGCCTTTGTACTCGGGGGACCAGGCTGCGGGTTTCCTAAAGCGGGGACCCTGCAGGGCTGCACCAAAGGGCGACCGACGCAGGGCCGGCGGGAGAAGAAACAAGGCTGCCCGGGTCTTCTAATCCCAACTCCATGGGAGACCTCGAACTCTCCAAGACCGAGGGATCTGGCTGGGAAGTGTTCTTTCATGGGAAAACAAATCGTAACTGAAAATATTTTATCAATCATGTATACGTAGGGATCTTATCAAAACGAGTTAGCAGTAGTCCCATTGAAGATGACTACAGCGAAACCGGGGCTGCCTTTAATTGTGCTTCTTTCCCTAGTTCCAAAATCAATTCATTGAAGCATCCCATCAGCAAGAAGATATTTTCATTTTTATTATTATCTCTGACTGTAACCAAGGCTTATTTTTTTTTAACACTGTACAACCATCTGCAAGGCTTCTGATGCTGTTTTGTTTGTGTGGGTGTGCCCAAATATTTGTTAAAAAAAAAAAAAGTAGCTACTACAATACATTGTGAAAAAATATCGCAAATCGATTTTTCTCCCAAGATGCCAGAAATATTCTCTTAGCTGCCACCATTTAATCTCTAAACATGCTGTCTTAGGCTGGGACCTTAGCTGGGACTTACTTCTGAGTAAAAAAGGAAAGCTTGGCATTAAAATCTGGTTTCTAGCAGAAATATTTTTAAAACAGAAAACCACCGAAAAATAACTGAGCAATTCTAACAAAATCAATGTTATTTACTGAACATAAACAATTTTGAAAGAAATATGTACCTATTTCATTAAGTCTCGTTCCCAAATAAATGTGAGCAAAATGCAGTCAACTTTATCTTAGCAAAGGAATCCTGAAACTAATTTTAGTATTTCTAACAATGGTAAGAATAGGGAAATGCTTTACAGAGGTATTCTCAGATAAGATAGCAATGATTATTGCTACCAATAAAATGTAAATATAGCATGACAACAAGAGAGAATCAAAGCCCACGGATTTCCTTGTGCAACTGTATTTTAACGTAATAAAAAAAAAAATCTGAGGTAAGGATCAGGGTCGAAATTAAGGTGTAGTCCTAAAATGAAATAAATGAATAAATAAATCCAGACGTCCATTATAAGAAATCCGAAATATACTACCTTCTAAAAGCTAGAATAACTAAATACTGCCCAATTTAGAAAATCAAAGCACCCCTTCCCGCCGAAGCCAGTTTCCTTAGCCGGGGGAGCGGGAAAAAAATCAATTTTCCAATGTGTTCCCTTCAAATCTGGGTCTCTATGCCCAGCGGCCGGGTAAGTTGCCAGCCACCCCATCTCCTTTTTTTTTTTCCTGGCTAAAGATGGTGACCTGGGCTCGGAGCTGCAACGCAGCGCTCCCTCTCCGCGCGCCCACGAATTTCTGGGGGCCCCACTTCTCACCACCCACTTAACTCGCGTGTACCCTCTAGCTGCTTGACGTGAGTGGCTCAGCCCTGATTTCCGTGCTAACTTCCCTCCTAGCAGCAGGCATCGCCTCTGCCTCCCCCCCCCCCCCCCCCCCCCCCCCCCCGCGGCCCTTTGCAGAGTCCAAAGCAACGCTCCGTTTGTCGCCTATGACAGCTTTCAGGCAAACCCACCAGGGGCTGGATAATATTGATACAAACTCTATTTTCTTTCATTTTCTTGTTTTTCTCTCTCCTAATAGGCCACCCTGGCCTCTCGACCCCAGTCAGCTGATCCGGATCACATGCGCTGGGCTCGGCTGGCTCTCTCCCCCCCCCCCCCGCTCTCCCCTCCCCGCGCTCGTCGGAGCGCTGTCCTGGCGCGCCGCTGGGCAGGCTGCCGTAACGGCCGGGCTCCTGCTAAGGGCAGGGGATCGATCCGAAACGGCGCTTTAAAGGCTCATCAATCTTAATCTAGGTTGCTCGAGTAATTATGCGCGATTCTCTGGTGCGATTACAAGTGGATTTGGGTCTGGATTCCCTGGGCTCTTTCCTTTGTGTTATAACGGCAAAGACAGCAGCGCCCGGCCTGGCCTGGCCTGGCCTGCCCTCCTCTCCCGGTTCCTTTTCCCGGGGCTCTTTAACCCTTCCTGGCCGGCTGCCTCTCTCTCTCCCAGGGCTCCGGCTTTTCAGGCCATAGCTAGCGCTAAAAGAAAAGGGCGCTCAAGATGATGCAGCTCGGGAGCCGCCTGGTAGTCCATCATTTTAAGAAGGCGTTTAGTGGGATTCTCTCATTCTCG